TTCCTGGGCCGCCTCATAGTTTCGCAGTTGGTATTCTATGGCTGCCTTGAGGTTGAAGGCTTCCACCAGTGCAGTCTGGTGAAGGACTAAAGTGTTGCCCACACTGCGAACATCAATGCCCTCCGTGGTCATGCCCACACCTAGCTCCGGGTGCTGGCGGATGCCACGCTCCACAATGTCCGCGATATGCTTCAGCGCTGGGGCATACTGCCGGCTGCTGTAATAGGCCAAAGCCAGGTTGTAGGAAAGGTCAGGCCGGTAGCCCGAGGCCTGCAGGGCTGTAAAGAACTTGGAACAAGCCGCTTCATACTGCCCCTCCTTGTAGAGCAAACAGCCCAGGTTGACCTGGCCGTCTGACTCGTTCTCGCCCCCGCCGTCGTCTCCCCCTTCCCCACTCAGCAGCTGCTCCACCAGGCCCCTGGCCCCGGGAAGATCGCCCTCGCTGTACTTGATGGCAGCCTGCAGGCGGAGGACCCGGCTGTGGTAGGCGGGGTTGTCCGAGAGCAGGAAGGCGACCCGGGTGGCCTCCGGATACAGGCAGGCCTTGTACAGGGCCTGGGCCTGGTACAGGCGGTACTGCTCCAGCTCCGGGTGCAGCTGGCTCAGCTGCTCGTAGCACTCGGCCGCCATCGTGAACTCCTGCAGGCGGTAGTAGCAGTAGCCCAGCAGCGACAGGCCGGCGCGGCTCCTCGGGCTGCGCTGGAGCTCCCCGCCCAGCAGCTGCACCACCTCGGCGTAGCGGGAATCGCGGATGAGCCGGTACACGGCCGCGGTGAACTCGCCGTCGGGGATCGGCGTGCTGCCCAGCCCCGCCATAACTGCCAGGGTGGTTGCGCGTCCTAGTTACCAAGGCAACACGCCAGCCGGAAACGGAAAACCGTAAAGATTTGCGTCTGTGAGAGAGTTCCCAAAGTTACTTTTAGCGGAAGGACCATATTAGGATTAGAAAGCAGTCACTAATGTGAGGGTGCCCAGATCTGGTCTCACCCCCGAAGAGTCCAAGAATGTGCGCGTCGCTGGTCTGCGAGGGAAGAGCAGTCCGCTCCGCTTCCCGCAGAGACAGGAACTCCACCTCCCGGCATGCCCCGGCTCAGTCGCGCGGCCGCTGGGAACGTGTTCGCGCTGCATGCTGGGAGGCGTAGTCTCCCTCGGACCTCCATGGTCGGGGGTGAGGCTCGGCTAACGACGTGTCCCGGTTGTGGGTGGGGCTGCTGCCCGCCTGTGGTGCCGCCTCGGTGTCTGGCGCGGAGGTAGGAGGTTTACTTTCTGAAGTCCCTCGCGTTTTTGAGCCTTATACACCGTGTCATCGTGTGGTGTGGTTCCCTGTCGTTTTGGTGAAAGAAACGGGAATGGAAAAGGCGGAATGTCCACTTTGTTTCTCCCACAATTAGAATGGGTCCTGCTTGCAGGTCTCCCTGAGGGCACACTTTCTAATGACAGAGTAGTGACTAGGAGCCCTTATTTTGTAGTTTCCAGAGACTAACAACAGGAAAGAGTCCTGTGGGTCGTATCTGGTCCGGGGAGAGGATCGGCTTCAGTTCCGCGTGTCTCCCGCGCCGGCTTTTCCGTAACGCGGGTTTTACTGAGCACTTCCTGGAGGGTAACCTGGCCCTGCCGCCTGCCTCGATCCTCCAGATTTCACAACGAAGTGGAAGCTTTGGGAAAATCTATGACCTCGTTTTTCACAAGAATGAAAACAACAAAAACCCACGACCAAGAAGTGTTCCTTTTCCTATGCGCTGTACCTTTCTAACTCTCTAGACCTACTTAGCCAGTCTGTGATGTGCGCGCGCGTGCCCGTGTGTGTGTGTGTGTGTGTGTGTGTGTGTGTGTGAGAGAGAGAGAGAGAGAGAGAGAGAGAGAGAGAGAGAGGGAGAGAGGGAGAGAGAGGGAGACAGAGAGGGACGGAGGGTGAGGGAGAGAGAGAGGGAGAGAGGGAGAGGGAGAGGGAGAGAGAGGGAAAGAGAGGGAGAGGGAGAGAGAGGGAGAGGGGGACAGAGAGGGAGAGGGGGACAGAGAGGGAGAGGGAGGGAGAGGGAGGGAGAGAGGGAGAGAGATACACAGCCTGTACTTTTCAGACTTTAATAATGTTTTTGGATATCACTGAGATGATAAAAATTGGATTTTCTTTCAGTTAAAAAAATTTTTTAATTGCCTACACTTTAATTTTTTTCTCTCAGATTCTTTGAAGATATCTGTGGAGATTTGTTGAACTGTAAAGAAACCATTCTGGATTTTATTTTTTCCTTTGTCATGTATTTGAAATAGATGTTCCGGATTCTATGTTATTACCTCAAGGCTATTTTTATATAAGTTCTTTTGAATTTAATAGTGCCTCTCATGGGGCAGTGAAAAACTAGGGATTTAATTATCTTATAAAATTATATTGGATCACTAATAAAAAGCATTCCCATAGTTTAGACTGTCCTGGAGACTAGAATTTGTGGGAGATGAACAGACTTTTTCAGTCAAACATTAGAGAAGTAGACAAAGATAAAAAAAAACAAACTGGCTTATCTCAGTGAGGCAGTGGTAAATGTTCAGTTTTCATGATAACAAAATTATGATTTATGAATATCTATCACATGCAGTGCCTCTGCTGGCAGCCTGGGGTGAGGGGGTTGTCTTTCATAGTCTTCTATGATTTTCATTAGCCTCACAACCACCAAAATATAGTACAAGTAAAAGCGTATCTTCACTATGTAATTAAACACTTTAATGAAAACCCCATATCTGCCTCTTCAATAGTATTGCTGCCCATAAATCTTTTCTATGCATATGTTTTGGAGCCACCATCAACCATATTGCATGGCACTCTGACTATTCACATATATTCTCTCTAATTTTAATAATCACCCTGTATTCTGCATATTACAGATGAAGAAAAGAAGAAGCTGGGCCGTGATATACAAAATGTGAATTCATTAGGAAGTAGTTGCTGGTGAATTAATTAAATCTATGTATCACATCAGAACCCAGTTTTGAGGGAATACTAGTGTCTTACTTTTAGAGATATTTTCCCATTAAAACAAACAACCAATTTGGTTTGAGCAATAGAATTTGAACTTCCTGGCCTGAGTTGCAGCTGTAAGTTAAGTGACTAGTGAGAGGTAGTATAGTTCCTAGTCACTTGTTATAGTTAAAAAGGGACTCTAATAAGGCATCTGAATGCTAAACAATCAAGTGACTGACCTCATCTGCTTATACATTCTTCTCCCTTGCTGAGAAGTTTGCCAAAGATAGAAAGGGACAAACGATACCCGTTTCAAACGGGTTGAGTGGGGCCTTGGGCCACCCAAGATCCCCAGAGAAAGCAGCTGAGGAAGACCGCTATAATCCTTCTCTGAGGCTTCTTCCAACCCATTCTCTGGCTGCAGTCCTTTCTGGTTTCAACTCAAGAAGGTACATGGTTTGAGGGATGCTGGCCAGCACCACTCAGTGATAAGGGAATAGGGTGTCTTCTTTTTGCCTGCCTGATTGACACATCTCATGGAAGAAATAATTATCCAAAAGGCTCAATATTTTTAAAATCCTCATGTATTTTAAATCCTTATTTCTTGAGCTGTTTACCTTGGGTAAGTTGCTCTTAAATCAAGGTAAGGTGATAGTACATGGAAACAGGATATTGCCTTTTATATCTTTAGTCTCTCTTTGTTTCTCAGAGCTGCGTCATGAAAGCATTCACCTTCAAATATCTTCTTGGAAATAAATAAAAAATAGAGGGACTGTCTGCTCTACCCAAATTTCTCTCATCCCTACAAGCATCAGTTGAGGTTCCTTTCTTTGTGCTGGCACCTATCTGTGAGTGTGGCAGCTGAGAGGAGCAGGAGGGAGGCCGTTCTGTGTCTTCCCCCTTATTTCATGTGCTGCTGCTCATGAAGCCTGGCTTGACAAAAGCAGGACATTCAGCTTAGACAGATGGAGGGCAGAGTCATTTTCAAAATCAAATGAGTGTACAAATCACACTGTGAAATTGGCATGACCATCACTGCTGCTGTGATAGACTGACTTTTATTTAGTCTCTGATAGGCAGTTGAGGAATAGATTCATTTTGGGGTGGGGGATAGGGAGATGGCGAAAGAAGATCCATTATTTAGTGATAGAAATTCTGGAAAGCAGTAAATGGGGTGGGATATTACAAAATGTCATAAAGGATTGTTTCCAATAGAGTCTTAAAATATGTTTTTTTAATTGATTTTTTTAGAGAGAGAAAGGGAGAGAGAGATACATCAATGTGAGAGAGAAACATCAATCAGTTGCCTCCATTACGGGGATTGAACCCACAACCTAGGTATGTGCCCTGACTAGGAATCAAACCAGCAACCTCTTGGTGCATGGGACGATGCTCAACCAACTGAGCCACACCTTCCAGGGCTCCAATACAATCTTGAAAACATGTATCAGAAAGTAAGTGTATCATCATATGATTTCACTTATATGTGGAATCTAAAGAGCAAAATAAATGAACAAAAAATAGAAACAGACTTATAGATACAGAGATCAGATTGATGGTTGCCAGAGGGGTGGGGGCTTAGGGGGCTGAGTGGGAAAGGTTAAGGGATTAAGAAGTGCAAATTAGTAGTCGTAAAACAGTCATGAGAATATAAAGTATAGCATAGGGAATATAGTCAATAATATTGTAATAACTATGTATGGTACCAAGTAAGTACTGGAAATATCAGGGGACCACATTTTAAAGTATATGATTGTCTAACCATTATTCTGAATACATGATACTAATACAAAATAATTTTTAAAATAATAAAAATTAAAATTAAAAGTAAGTGTATTGTACCATTCCTAGAAATAAGAAAGCTTTTGATGGTTGCAGTAAAATGTGCGTCATTGAACGGAATTAGGGTTTGAGAAAATGCTGTTGGTATCAGGGTGGATTTTGCTACCTAAGAGGAGGCATGCTTACCACATAGAAGAATTCCATTCAGGCAAAATTTATAGAAGCTGAAAGCATGATGTTTAGTTCTTTTTTTTTTTTTTTAAATATATCTTTATTGATTTCAGAGAGAGGAAAAAAGAGAGACAGAAACATCAATGATGAGAGAGTCATTGATTGAGCCCACAACCCAGGCATGTGCCCTGACTGGGATTCGAACCCCGATCCCCTGGATCCTAGGTTGATGCTCAACCGCTGAGCCACCCCCAGCCAGGCAATGTTTAATTCTTAACATGCTGTCTTTCTGCCTGCCAAAATGTGAGCTGGTCAAATCCCATATATATTCTACTTGTCATTCTCTTTTAAAACTAGTTGGAAATTATTGTTTCTTATTTCTCTTGTAAAAATAACTACTTCTTTTTGGTAAATATTGTTTATTTATGAGTATTTCAACCATAGCTGTGGTTAAACATCTTCCTTGATAAAGGAAGAACTACAAAGTCATTTTCTGTGGTGTTATTTCTGTCTCTTATTCATTACAGGCCATTTTCTACAGGGTGGCCCAATTGAGAGGCGCTCAGTATCCTTGCTTCCTCTGGAGTACCTGTGTATCCCTTGATTTTTTTTGTCCCTGTGTGTCCACTGATGATGATAGAAGTGACCCTCCTTCCACTACCTCTTTCTTCTACCTCCTCACCCCTATCCCAAAACGGGAGAAGAGAATAAATTAGTGTCAAATTTGTAATGTAGTTCACTGATTGGAGCATCTGTTCAGTCTCTTAAGACTTCTGGAAAAGACTGTATGCTGAATCAATACTTGGGAATATTTATGCTCAGGTAATGAGAAATTTAACCTCCTTGAGAGCTTAATCTTTTTTCCTCTGGTAGTTCCAACTCTATTAATATTTTATATAGTAATATATTCCCTTCTTGGTATATCTTGTTTTTGATCAAATAGTTTGTCTAGAAGTCCAGTGCACTCTCCATTGCTCTGCAGAGCCAGGTTTATCAAACAGTTTCTATTTTGAAGTTTATCCAAACTAATTTATTAGGCAGAATACAATAACAGTATGGTTTATAAAAGGAATTCGTAGAGAAGACACAATTGTGGGAACTGCCACTGAAAAATTCATTTGCTACAGTTGGAGTGTGCTATCAAATGCACTGATGGAGCTGTTACCCAAATCAGTTCATTTAAGCATTTTTCACTACTTTAGTTTCCAAGAGATAAGAAATGATTCATGGTATCACTTCTTGCTCCCAAGAGTGGCACCTTTTAGGGTAAGGTATATCCTATCTATGCTTGTTTTCATTTCTGTAGTACATCCATGAAAATAATACACTGGATAGGGAAGGTCTTTGAAGTCCATGGTCAGAAGATGATATGTCTTAAAGAAAGATGTCATTCATCTCTGGATACATTGTCTGGCTTGCAAAGCCTCCAGACTCCTTTTCCACCAGGGAAGGGCCCATGAAGGCTTTGATGGCCAGCCATCTAATTGTCTGAAAAGAACTGTACTAGTTTTTAAGGCTTTGTGGAGAGTTATGGAGCATACTCCCAGGGCCTCTTCTAGTGGATTAAGGGACTAACTCAGAACCAAACCTGTCCTTCAAGCCTCTTGCTCCCACACTCCCCACACCCAGTGAATCAAGTTCTGACAATTCTGCCTCTGAAATATTTCAGCTCCGTGTATTTCTCTCCAATTTCTACAACTGCTGCTCTGGTTTCTGCCACCATTGTCTCTCTCCTGGACCTGCATCAATTTTCTTAAATGGCTTCCCCTCATCTCTTCCTGGGACACTTAGAGAGATTTCAAAGCACTTTATCTCCCTCTTTTGTTTTACTCTTGGGACCTCATTAAGCCTTTAAATGCACTTCACCA